TACCCCGAAAATATGTTTTTTTTTATTTACCGCTTCCCTAGCATTTCGTGCTTCCTAAGCGCATTTGTTTTGTATTTAAATCAAAGAAGCATTAGGCTAGCTTTAGATCAGGCTGACCATAATGAAAAGCCAGTGCTTTTCTGAGAAAATTGTAACGTTGAGCTTTCTACGTACACTTCTTTCGTCAATTATATATAACATCAAAATTGCAAGTAAATAAGATCGCGAAAGAAAAAAAAAAAACAACAACAACGAAGGCTTAAAGGCCACGTCCAATGGCAAGCAAATCAGAGCAGGAGGGAAACAGCCAGGTACAACTTCTAACCAATAAAAAATATCATGCTGTTTTTTTTTCCCTAGTACGGGACGTTCGAGCAATAAAGTGTTGTTAATTAAATTGTACCTTCGGTTTGCAGGAACGTTTTCTTCTGTATTTTTTCAATTATCGTACAAATTGATCAACCACTGTGCTATTTTTCAAAAAGTAAATGATATTAAAAATAAGGTGTTGTCAATTAATTGTACTTTTGGTTTACAGAAACTTCTGCATTGTTTTCAAGTATTGTGCGGATTGATCAACCAGTCTATTATGTTTAAAAATTCAACTAGTGATAGGGAATCATTATTTTTACCTGCGGGGATTTAGATTTAATTATTCCGATTTGATTGAAAAAAATATAAATTACTCTATTTTTTTTAATATGATTTCTTTTTTCTTGGTTTCTGTTGAGTGGGAGCTTTCAACAGATGTGCATCGCAGCAGACACGATCCTGCAGCCAGAGTACCTGGAATATAGCGAATCCTCCGATTAATGAGCCGACCAAAGACTAACTACCTCGCTCTACTGAAGACGGGAAGAAAAATAAAGCGTGTGATACGAGCCCATTCTAATACGCCCTGCAAGAAGCAATACACTTCCCTATATGAAGGGATATTAGACGCGCAATATTGGCAGTGCCACAAATTTTTCACATCGAAGATTAGTCGCCCATCGCTTCATTGTGACGAACGTGGTTTGTCGGGTAGCTAGTGCCAGCCTACACGACGCAACTCTCATTACTAGCACTTGAACTATATTTCAAGAACAGATCTGCGGAGAGAACACCGGAGCACTCGAGGAGTGACTCAGTGATAACCCCGCACGGAGACAATTTGCTGTTTTGGACGCCGATGCCGATAAGAAACACGTACGAAAAGATTTCAGGGCGGATGTTTGGCAGTTACCGCAGCCAACGCAACCACACTTCGTTACTCGGGACGCGTATATAGAACACAACTCGTATAGTTCCTAAGAAATATTTATCCGTTTCAATTCCGTATGACACAGAGTCAGTGTTAACCATGGTTCTGACGGGAAAAATTCATAGTTTTCTCGAAGAACCAGCAGAATTCCCGTTTTGTATTCTGTGTAGCGAAACGTGACTGCTAATATGTTTGATGTCACAGCGCTGACCAAGCCATAGATGCCGTGACGCTCTTGGAGATACGTACAGTGACGAGACACGCAGCCGCTGTGCTAAGTCTATCGACCGGCGTTCACTCAGACCGACGCAACCTGCTCGGTGAACACAACCATAGCCTCATACATATACTGACAAAGCCTGGAAGATCGCCACGAGAAGTGGCCACTAGAATGTAAAAGGTGGAGCGGCAGACAACGGATGAAAGGAGAGCCACGTGACTATCGCCCCGCAGCGGCGAGACGCCGATACTAACTTCTCCCGAGCGAATAAGCGTGTTTCTGGTTTTCGCTTCTGCAAAAGCTGTGCGCTGACGTCCAGGTTCACCGAGAAATGGCTCTTTGATGCTCTGTGCTACCAGATCCTCACGCTCCAAATCTGCGACCGGACTTTCTATGGCTCCGTCGTCAAACTGCCAGGCTTTATGAGTAGAGGAGGCTATGACACAACTAAAGGAAGGGTTATAGGCATTGCTTATATAGCAGTCTAGGCAGGAAATGGGGCAGCACTGACGGCATGACAAAGCAGCGCTTTTCGGCCCACAGGCTTCATGATAGAGCGTGTTCTCGAAAGAAAAATAATCGCTGAAACATCTGATCTTGATTAATCCCACGAAAGCAATCCGTTTACAGATTTATGGAGACCACAATGCTTCAGTACAGTCATAAAATACTCCCATTGCATTTGTGCCGAGCAGGTACCGGCACTAGAAAGCCAATCATTGGATTGAGCGCTAACCAATCAGCCGCGTGGGAACACGTGGACCGCAGGAGGCGTGGCGCAGTGCCACACTCCACTCGCGCCGCAAGCGGCGGGACGTGAACGCTGCCCCTTTATGGGGAGTGCACTTCCTCTCCGTGGTCGGGTGTTGCTACAGACCGTGGGCTCTGTGAAAGAGACAGCCGAGGCAAAGAAGAGGCTGGTCGATCGTCGCAAACGACTCTAAATTCTGGGGTTCCCGCTAAGGACCTTTGAAGGGCCCCGAGACGGGACCCTTCGAGTCTGCTCGAATGACGGAGACATTAGGAGTACCAGGAATTGCGCGCAACTCGGCGCTCGCTGAGAGGGCGGTCTTGCTCACGACGTCCCCTGTTCCCGTGGGCGTCACAGCGTCGGCGAGTGTCCCGCCCTTGGCTGTTGGCCCCGGCGTGTCAATGGAGACCAGGCCAAAAGAGGACAAGTCGCCCGCTTTTGCGTTATATATATGTATTTTTATTTAAAAAAAAATCAACCATTTTTTTTTATATATATACAGCTTGTGTTTAGAACAAACTCTTCACTTTCGTACCGGCTTTCTAGGTTAGCTTTTTTATATATATAAAACACCATTACGGTGCTTTACCTATTTGCTTTCCTTCGCATCCGCTCAGTTATTTCAAAGTATCCTTGGAAGAACACAAACAAAGGAGCATTTTCTTTAGAGGATGAATCATTCTTTCAAACGAAAAGACGCATCGAAGAGGCGATAAACCTTAGGGCTAGCTAAACAAAAAACTAAAAGACTAACATTTTAGTTTGTAGTTATCCGCAGCATGGACTCAGTGAAACAATGGAAACAAACAAACAACCTTTTTTTCATTATATTTCTTGCAACATCTATCTTACGTTCTTGGATGTGACTGCGTGAGAAATGTGGTAATTCAAAGACCTATCAAACGTTAGCAGATAGAATTGCCGTCTTCAACACAAGGGCACAATAATGTGATTAGTGAACAAGTTAGCTGGAGACATAATTAAAAAAAAACATTTCTGCGATAGATAATACTATATTGATTGCAGTTCAATTGCATAAGAGCGATACAGAATAAATAATCTAGTTAAACACTAGAAAGAATAAAACATAAAGTACCGACATGTTTTATTCTTTCTAGTATTTAACCTTATCACCAACGCGCTCCACAAAACCATAAATGGTCTAGTTTGCACACTTCCAGAGAACTGAAAGCGTTACGAACGTATCACTCTTCTATGATCAAGAGTCGTGTAGTGCCTTTTTTCATATATCCCATATTTCTTTTTTTAGGTTTTCTTTTACTCGGAATACGGAGGCACTACACCAGAAAGCGGTACAGGGCAGCATAGGAAACGAAGCATCACACCAGCAGGTGTCTCAAACACGCGGGCTTCGACCTTTTGAGATGCGGCTAGCAAGCATCCCTCGGTTGCGAGACCTTGTTTTCAGGCCTGGAGCGCTAGACTAGTTTGATATCGTCGATTAATTTGCGCTCGTAAACAAGCTCTGTTTATATAACGTGTTTACACATTTTGCATTATTCTGTTGTTGTTTTTGATACTAAGTATTGCTTTGTCTATATGTTAGCTTCTCAGTGCTTTCTCGTGTACATCAACCGGAACGACAATATCACTGCTCGGCAAGAAGCGCGAGCTCCTTGCTCAAGAAGGCACCTTGCCTGCACGAACTCTCCGTCAGCAGAAGCAACTGCCAAAGATACAGCTATGAGCTAGAACTTCTAGCTCTCAGACGACATCGTTAAAATAAAAGTATTTTCTTATGATAGTGGTATAAAAGATCACGAGGAAAACAAAAACTGCCTTATAAAGATTTTTTTTTTTTTGTTCGTGTTGAGTTTTGTGAATTGCGTGACAAGGGCAAGGATGGTGTGCTTGCTCTCGTGCTATTGAAGACTGCCATTACGTTGGTGTTTGAAATCCTGTTTTATAACATTCATGAGATCCAAAGTAGCCGCATAGGGAAATGAAAGCGAAAGTGGTGAGCTTACAAAAAGCAGAGGGCACAAGGTTCTTTATTTAAAAAAATCTCTAGGGCGTCACTAAGAAAGTCGGCTGCTTTGTAACGTAAAACACCACTGCTGTTTGTTGTTGTTGTTGTTGTTGTTTTTTGTCCCAAAATAGCAAAAAAGCCCCCTGGCCTTGAACCTCGACCTTTCCGGAACGGGGTACCTGGCCCCCACACTCGGATAAATTTAAGACCCCTGCGAGTATTTTTTGGAGCGTCTCTTCACTTGCGTCATAACTGTTTTTTGTAAACTGTTGTTAACTAAATATTTCCTTGATAAAAAAAAAAAAAAAAAAAAAAAAAAACAGATTTTAGTTTATGTACATTGATTTCGCTACTCGGCAGAATGGAGTAGAATCCTCCGTTTATTGACATAATGGCAGACAAAAGTCTGGGTTTGGTACACATATATCTTGCAACGAATTCAGGACCCAACTCAAACCATATCGCAGCAAAGTCAAATCGAAGAACTAGTCTCAAAACACAAAATAATATTTATTAGTTTCAAATTAAAAAAAAAGGACTGCAAAAAGATTACAAGTACAGTAATAATAAAGACCATGAAACTTCACACTGGACGTGTGAGCGCAATAACCGCAATATTCCAGTACCCTCTGTTCGCCTTGTAACGCTCTGTTTGCCCAGCAGATGCGGTTGAAAGCCATAGCATATTTTTTTTAGGACATACTCTTCATTTAGTATAAAACGTATGCTGGAATATAAAAACAAAGATCCATTGCAAACAAATGCCAATTTTTCTTTTTTTGTCTTTTTTTTGCAGAGTCTTACGGAGCTGCGCGGTCTGGTGGCTGCTTCCACGGGAGCGACCGCGTTCAGACGAGGCATGGTACCAAGAGCCTTTCCGAGCTGCTGCTTGGAGACGAAGTGATGGCCCTGGCTTCGGACGGCGGGCTCGTTTTCACGGAGGTGATCAGCTTCTTGGATCGGGATCCGAGCGCCGAAAGGCTCTTCTACCGCGTGGAGACAGAGTCCGGACGCACCGTCAGCTTCACGCCAGCGCATCTGGTCTACTACACAGCGACCGCCGACGGAGTTCCCAGGCCTACGTTCGCCGCTCGCCTCGTACCTGGAGGCTACATTCTGGTGCAGACTAGTACCCCGGCGTCCGCAGTCCCCGGTCGGAAGTTCGTAGAACGTTCCACAGATGGCGCTTCCTTCAACGAGGCAGAAACGAACGCTGTTTTGGACAACGACGACGAGCCGACAAACAGAACTGAGTCTGAAAACGTGACCGTGCCCTGGCTCCATCTCCCGGAGAGTGGAGGAAGTGCGGGCGCCGCTGTGGACGGCGGTGCTTCGTCGCTGCGTCTGGAACGCGTTCGAGACGTGACGGCGAATGTGGCGACCGGTGTGTTCGCGCCGCTGACGCGCGAGGGCACGCTGCTCGTGAACGGGGTGGCGGCGTCGTGCTACGCCGCCGTCGAGGATCAGGCGCTGGCGCACTGGGCCTTCCTCCCCGTCAGGCTGTGGGAGGACGTGAAAGACTCCGCGCTGTCTTTACTGCGCGCGACGGGTACCCTGGTCAGGCGGGCCGACGGCCGCCCCCATGGACCACAGCAAAGCTCGCTCGTGGGCGTGCACTGGTACGCGGAACTGTTGTACGGAGTGTTCTACAGACTGCTTCCCAAGTCGTATCTTCTGGACTGAGTTCTCCGACTGGCGTCTTTTGTGCGTGCCGCTGTACATAAGGTTGGATGAGAATCGCGTTCGAGGAGGCGGGCGTGCATCGCCTCAAACCTCCTTCTCGAAATGGCCTATTGTAATTAGAAGACTAGTAAATATTATAGGGCTTAAGTTATTTTTTTCCGATACTAGTATCTTTATTCGGTGCAGTGAGACGTTGATGCTGAGCAGACAAGTAAGAGTTGTTTCTAGAATGTGCGTAGAAAGAGAGATCGTGGGAAGGCTTAGAAGAGCATTGACAGCTATGCTGGACTCGTCCCGATCTTGACAGCAGACTCGACAAATACAGCAGCCTGAGTTTAATAAGCTTACTTATAATACTGTTACGTTGTCAAGGAGAATGCGGAGCTATCTGTACCTGCTTGCGACATCCGAGGTCTGCTGATTGTCTAAACGGGGAGGTGATCCGGTGGCGAGGCCCGCAACATACCCTGTGAAATTAATAAAAAATGCTCTTTGTAGACCCGCGAAAAGCCGAATGAATGAAATCCAGGATGATACGAGATAAATCTGACATTGATCAGTTTTTTATCGGCCTCAATCAGTTACTTAATTTGCCGTTTATATTTCATCACAGTTCTGTAGGTTGTCTAGGCTAACCACAAGACAGGACAAGAGAAGAAAATCTTCCAGGACTGAGCTCTTTTCGTTTATAAGAATATCTCGTGAGTCTCTGGAAGCAGAATTTTGATATCCATGATATTCGGAAGGCTATAGCTGCGATCTTGTCTAAACTTTTTTCGTTGGAATTTTGCGCGTAGGCGTAGTTTGTTAAGTTTGGTAGAAAATATGGAATTATTCCCGGCTCTTTAGCCGATGGCGTGACAAACGAAAAGAGTTTCGTCACGCAATACTGCACTTTCGTCGTCGAGTTAAAGATTTGTACAAGTTGTAAATGTCTTAAGTTATTGAATATATGTGTGTCAGACGTTGAATCTTCATTTTGGAGCGTTTTGACGCACCTATAGCAACAGTAAAACTCTACCAGAGTGTGCACTTGTTTGCCTTTGGAGGTTGGCTGCTCGGTATGTCTTTTATAAGGAGGAACACAGCCTCAATAAGAAGGGTGTTCCAACTGAGCTGAAGCAAAATCAAAAGTAACTTTATTCAAATAGGTTTATTACTGACTTAGTTTACTTCCTCGAAAAAGCTAATCAGACATACACTGTAACCCTTACTTTGCGTAAATATTGAGATAAAGGGTAGGTTTTGTAGACGAATTCCGTTGTCCCTCAACTCTCCCCGCGACCCGCCATGCGACTGCCAACTCTGCAGACAACGAGAGCTACACGCATGCGCAACGTCATTGTTGGGGAAAGCGTAATGCGGGAGAAAAAGCGGTCTACAAAAGCTTCCTAATAAACTCCCAAACTGACCGCGACCATCACAAGTTATAAGACGGTTTATTTTCTTAAATTTTGATGCATATAATTTTTAAGAGCGCTTTTCTATTTCTTTTAAGCATAGGAAACGTGTAGGTGCCATTTCGACATGACAGGCGAAGGCATGGAGTTCGTTTCTTCTAAGGCAGTCAAATCAAAAGCTACATGATATTTGCACAAGTACGAATCGCCGATAGAAGGTTTTCTGGGGACAAAGTCAAAAGAGAGTTTGAATTCGTACAATTTCCCCAGTTTCGTGCGTGCGACCAACCAACCTTACTATAAGATGCACGCATGCGTTTTCCTTTCAATGACGAAAACTACATATTAAGTTTCACTTTTGGTTCTATCCCAGCCGATGCTCTAATCCGATGCGGGGCACAAGTTCGTCTGCTGCTTTTGCAGGAGTTGCAGTGACGTCAGAGCGACGCCGAGCTCTGATTGGCTCTGATAAACGTCGAGGCAGCTTGCTTCGAGGTCTACGCACTATCGTCCCATCACAGCCAATCGGAGTTCGGCATCGTTCTGACGTCACCACAACCACTCTAAGAGAAGCAGACAAACTTGCTCTCCGCACAGATCTATTCAAGCAGTGGCAAAAGTGAATCGTCGTGGCTCTCGTCGCCTTTGTTCGTTTTCTATCGCCTATTAATCCAATCGTGCACAAATAAATGCGCAGTGATACCCCGATCTAATTTCTGCGTAATTGGTTTACCCGGGGATAGCAAACCCACCAAGGCAACGAGCGCCGTGACGATGCAATTCTTTTGCGCTGCCTGATCGCCTCCATCAGATCGTCTGCTGCGATCGGACTTCAAGTAAAACGGAGCATAGTGTCGGCATGATGTGGGTTGGCAAGCTCATGGAAGTTTGGAAATTCAAGAAAAAAAACAGGTTTCACCTGAAATTCGCTTTGTCGCTCGCGTCATTTTTTATTAAGTGTGTAAACATTGGAGATGTGTGCTTTCACGAAAGGGGGTAGCGAAAGGGCATGCAAGCTGGTGTAAGTTCATCGTAATGACACGACTTGAGGTTGTTTTCCCCTCTTGTGTTAGGCCTCAGCGTCATGGTGCTTTTACGACGAGTCTGCATACCAGCGCTGTGAAGCTTTTATGAGGTCCCGATTGAAGGGCTGTACGCCTTTTCACATCGTTCTGTTTTGGTCTCTCAAAGAAATTTCTGCTTCGAGCCAAAACATGGCCGTATCGAGACTATGCGGAACTAATTCGTAGCTCGGATCAAAACATATAATTAGCAGTTGGGAAGGCGTGAAGCCCGGTCGATAAAAGTATGTCCTGCGACAACACCAGTGACCTCGAGCAGTACCCGTGAACTCCTCGTTACCAACCGCAAAACATCGACGCACATTGTCGGAGCAGGCAACATCTTCCGCCAGATGCTGGCAAGACATCATTGTGCAGCAATTGCTGGTGTTTTGTAGTGGGTAAGGCGGGCATTGCTCGTCTAGGCAGTGCTCGACGAAGTATCCACTGGCGCATATAAACATTAAGTCAATGGGTTGTTTGTTTAGCATTCTCAAGTAAAAAGAAAATCAGCTAGGACATTATCTTTAAGAACTTTCCGTCGACTGTTCGTCGCAGGCGTTTCGTTTGTGTTAACTGAGGCCTGCGAGAATGATACCGGCCTTTCAAAACAGCGACTTTGTTCTTACAACTTTGAAGGCGTTGACTTGGTGGTCTGAATGTGGATGTGTTGTATATTTATGTGAAATCAGAGTGATTGTTAATTAAAGACGAGTGATTACTTATGTCTGCTGTGGTGGCTTGTTTCTTCTAACGAAGATGTATAGGTACGCAGTAGTGCTTCACGTTTCAATTGGTTTTTGATTCTTTCAGTAAAGTGTTTTTTTACAGAAAGTAATTCGTCCTGCACATGTCTTGTTTAAGAATCCGATAGAATCTCAGCGTTGTTTTCCAAACGACAAATTATCAGTAAGAGCAGTTTCAGCATAAAATATGTGTCAAATCTTGAAAAAAACGTTCAGAAATCTGCTTGTTTTTGCCCCAACTTTAGTGCGCCAGTAAAATGCTCGATAATTAAGAAAACCTTGAGCTTTGTATAATTCAAAGGGACTGACCAGGGAGAAGAATGTCTGAGCGTCCACCATGCGAGACAAAATTTCCTAAGTTTATAAAGTTGTCTTTTAGTCACGGCCCTTGAAACCAGCCAACAAGCTTTGGGACGTGGCAGAGCTAATGATATCAATTTATTGTGTTCGAGAAGTCCCTGTAGAAACGAACGAGATTGAGGAAAAAAAAAAGACATGGACAGAAATGATGGCGCGTGCTTCGGATCGAAAGAACATCACAAGGTCTGGCTAAAATGTATTCGGTTGCTTGTAAATATTGTAAATAAATGCTAGCTTTAACGTAACCAGCGACGACTACCAGAGGTTCTACCATTTGGTGCCGAAACCCGGGAACCCACCAACTGAATGAGCAGAACCTGGTAATCCAAAGCAACATCTACAATCGACCGACACAAGTAATCAACAGTACGCAACACTGGATAAAAATAAACTTCCTCAAATAAAAAAAAAACCAAAGAAAAACGCAAATAACGCAAGTAACTAGGGTCCCAACGAGCCAGAGGAATTATTACAATTACCTACGCCGACCATTGATGATATTAATAGTTTGATCGAGCGTCTAAGCCTTGCTCGGGGCCAACTCAACCACGTAGATGCCGCGATCAAGTCTTTGATTCTCGCAAAAAAAAAAAGTAGAAGCGGAGTTCACGCAAGTGATAGATGATGCTGACAAGATCGTCCCGTGCCTCACGAAGCTCAAAAGGAAAGAGAACGTCCTGGAGGACAGCCAGCGATGGAGCTGGCAACAGAACGAAGGTTTGGGAGCAGCACAAGGGACAGCAAAAATAAAGCTGTCAAAATTAGAGTTCACCAAGTTAAACGGGCACCCCTTCTGAGGGAAATTTCAGTCCAGCATTCATCATAATCCAGAGCTGAGACCATTGGAAAAGCTTAATTAATCGAGATCTGGCAATGGAGCTGCCGCCATCGGTGGACTGCAGAGAACAGCTGAGTGCTACGTAGACGCCATCGACCTTCTGCAGCACCGGCTTGGTCCAGGACCACATAGAAAGTCTTATGGACATACAAAAAATACCACCACAGGCCGACACACGGGCACTGCGGCGCTTTTACGACGGATTTCAGAGCAGTGTTGGCGGTAACGCGTTACAAGTAACATCGTTACCGGAAACGCGCTACTTTATTAGTGACGTAGTTACGTACTCGTTACCTTTTCAAAACGTTAACGGGCAACGTTCTTACGTTACATATTTCAAGTAATGGGTGAAGTATTTACGTTACTCGTTAAATCTCTCTTGACAGAGTTAAAAAAGTACGCTTAATTTTATGTGTTTCTGGACTTTGTTTTACCTTAAGTCCAGACGCAGCCGGCGCTACGAGTTGATGGGACCAATCAGACAAAGTAGAAAGGATACCGTCATGGTGTTCGCCATGTTTCTGTGCGTGTTGCATTATCGCTGTGAACCAATCGTAAACCAAAAAGACCCAGTGACGTGAACATTTGACGCCGC